GTCAATAAGTCATCATAAACAATCACCATCTATGATTTTGTTTCTCAAACCGTTCAGGCGACTTGATTGAAAGATCAATCACCACCCTTTATGTCTGGTTTTGTCAATTCCCGACAATGAATGATGAATCACTAGCTCTAGGAAGATATTTTCATAAATTCGTTGAACATTAACGTAATGGAAAATTAAGGGGTTACTTGAGTGGTAGAGTTTGATGGTAGTTGAGAGCAATAAAATTCCTAATATTTTTCCTCCAAACATGAATCTATACAACATTAAAATGTTCATGTAGAATAAATCCAGAAGTATAGCAACAAGAATTTTCTTCATCAACTTCATTATCTACCTCTTATTCTTCTTCTTTTTCTTATACCTCTTCTACTACACCATTATCAGTCTTCATTAGCAACATCAACAATCACTTTAGCAACATCTTCACCCACCATAATAAGGGAAGTCATTACAAAAGTGGCTCCTTAGCACTTTGATGTTGGGGATACTGGTACCAACAGTAACAAAAGGGTGAATTGCATCAAGATGTGAAACCACGTCTTTATAAACTTCAAAATCATGGCCAAAATATCCAATCAATACTCTTGTTCTTCTTTTAGAACTTTAAACCATGATAATTAATGGGAGAATAAAAATCGAGTAAAAACAAGATTAGACACCAAAATACCCAGGGAAAAAACATTTGGAAAATGTCCATTTGAGTTGTATTGATACTTTGAATGTTTAGTATATAGTTTGGTAATTAATGGTTTGGTATTTTAATATATGTTGAAATTTTAGTAGTTTGGTGTTTTAGTTTATGTTGACACTTTGGTAGTTTTGTAGATTGATAATTGTTAGTTTGAAATTTTGATTTATGTTAATATTTTGGTAGTTTAGTGCTTTGGTAATGTAGTTTGATACTTTGCTAGTTATTTTGATTTATTTTCAGTTTCTTGTTTTAACTTATAAGTTTACTAATATACATATTTCTTTTGTAGTCGGATGTTATGCTTAGTAACCCGACGTAACGAGAGGAATAATGATGGGGAAGGTGATGATCACATGTCCAAATAGTTTTATTTTTTATTTACCATTTTGTAAACGTTTGTGTACTAGTTTTATAAATTTTATACTTAATTAGTAAATAATTGACATACTAGTTTATGAAATTTGTACTAGTTTTATACGTTTTTATAGAAACTTAATTTTTCTGAATTTACTGTAGCAACTTTTCTTTATTTGTGATAGTGATTTTTATATTTGTCAAAAAAAAAAAAAAAAAAAAAAACAATAATAATGATCGCATAATAGCAACGGCTTATTAGTGATAGCTACACCAATATGGAGTGACAAATAAGCACTAGCAACAAAGTATTAACGACTTATTTGTGGACAAATGATTGTATTAGCGTCAACACATGTCACACATATTGCCCTTAAATCTTATAGTATGAATGGCATCGAACAATCTATATGATTAACCTTACGGTTATGCAAATTCACTATTCCAAAATACATTTGTTAGCTAATAACATAAACATAGAAAACACGTCTTGTAAAAGATCTCAAATCTTATCATAAAGATTGGATTAGGTTTAAGAGTATCTATGGGGGACAGTGTCCCATTCTTTTCGGTAATAATGTCCTATTTCTAGAAATTAAGCCGCCCGAGGATTTTAATCATTTGTTTATATGAAACTCAAATAAAGAATTCAAGAAAGTTTCCACATCGATACACCATCCAACGTTCACAAACATATAACTAATTTAAAGTAAAATCTCACAAATAATTATATTTGATTCTTTTTAAAATCCTAAAAAAACCACACTTTCTTGGATGAATGTCGTCTGTGAGTCCGCCCACCATATACTTTCGAACGTGGGTATATCTTCGAAACAACTAACTAAGGAGTGACAGTTTCCCATCCAAATATATGATCATTGCAAAGTTAACACTCAAAATTATAAAAATTCCTATTTTACTTTTATAGTCAAAATGCAAAATTTCATGGCTTAATTCACTTAATTTAACATTGCATCTTGTCATAAGGATTACCATAATATGTATCAACAAAATCATAAAACCCAAATTTCCAAATTTCATGATATTTATACTAAGGACTAACTTGCCCTTATTGACAATATTTGTATTTTCCAACTCATTTTCTTTTACTTTCTTACTTAATGAACATTAACTTTTGGATATTACACCCAAACCAATATTGTACTCTCAAGCAAGTCCCTATTTCAAATAGGGTTCTCATGGTTTTTTGGCCTAGCTACCTATTGCTAAGGTAGGATCTATCTTTTTTTTTAATACAAAAATTATATAGAAATTACCTTATTTTTACCAAAAAAAACTTATATTTTCATATTTTTTTTCCGTTTTATTAATATAAGGAACCATTTTAATTTTAGTTTTAGATTCGTGACTGATCAGGTTTATAAAGTTCTATAATGGGTGGCAACATATTTATTCATCAACCTCCAAGTGAGAGATTGTCAGGTTGTGGAGTCTGATTGATCTATTGACCTTATAATCGCTAGAAACCACCAAAATATGTCATGAGTTATGGGATAACACCCTTGCGGGGAGCCATAGGTAGCTCCCCAAGAAGAAATTTTTGTAGGCGAGTTTCTATGTCAGATACGACATCAAAAATGCTTCATGAGCCAATTTCATCAATGTTGGGCTTGCCTTTGAAATAATGAAACCCCTTTGAAGGAGCCTTGTTATGCACACAATAATAAACAATATCACATATTTCCTTATGAGTCTTTCAAGAAAATATAAGATATCATAGATGTTCTTCAATCTTTGGAAAATTACAGAATGATTGTGATTTTTAATAGATTGGTCGTCATTAATATGACCAAGAGTGTTTTCAATGGTAAACTAATTTTGCCTTAAGAGTATCTATTTCACTAAAACTATGATGTTATTTGCTTATTACTAGGGATGAGCAAATGGACCGGAGAACCGGCCGGAACCGGTACCGGAACCGGAACCGGCACCGGAACCGGAACCCGATGGAACCGGTCGGGCCGGGACCGGGACGTTATTTTTGTGGATTTTTGGAACCGGGAACCGGTAGGAACCGGAACCGGTAGAACCGGCAAAAACCGGTAAAAACCGGAACCGTATTATACTATTTTTCAAAGATCGGTTCCAACATTTGAAGACACGACAAGAACCGGTAGGAACCGGGAATCGGTAGAACCGGAACCGATAGAACCGCCGGCCGGTTCGGTTCTTGATTTTGGCCGAAGCCGGTTCCCGGTTCCGGTCCAGTTCGGACCGGTTCCAGCCGGTTCGGTCCTTTTGCTCATCCCTACTTATTACCGATACAAAAATGAAGATAGAAATGACACTTTTTTTCCAAGATTTTGAAATCTAACTTTTGATAATCCACGTAGGATGCCTTACACTTCAATTTTATACAACATGACCGCCTAAATAGGCAATTGTTTGTCCAAAAGGTATATTGTTCCAAAATCATGTTTAGGGTATAAGTTAACATTTTTTGTAATTTTTACGACTAAAAGAATAAATCGCAGAAAGTATGATGATAAATTTTATCACTAAAATTATCATTTTTCATAATTAATCTTTAATTAAAAAAATGGTAAAGTGCATCATCTAAACGACGTTCATTTTTCATAATCAATCATCAATTTTTTTAAAAAAAATAATGGTAAACTAAATTTAAACAACCAATTTCGAACCCATCCAAGGCTTATTAAGTGCGAGGTCCAAAAAGATATTAGTCATATCTTGGACATGGTTTGAACATTGCATAGACAAATTCTTTTCTTTTTCTTTTCATATTTACACAACTTAATAAGTTTTAGTTGACAGCAAATGATTAGAGTTAAAGACCATTTATAAGAGTGTCAAACCATATTATATGATATACATGGTATATAAGTTTAAGCTTCTAATTAGTAGTTGAGCCGGTTTAAATGATGCTTTATTGTCGATGTTCTTTTTCCTATATTGAGAATTCAGTTTTGTGTATAGTATATATTTACGAATTTTTAATTCGATTAAACTACTTTAGTCTATAACTCTAATTGTCTTTATTTTAATAATTTCTATGCAATCATCAATATTTGGCACTACAAATCAAATATTGACTTTGTGTTTTTGACAGATGGCCGTTGTATCTTTTCTGATTTTTTGAAAAAGAAAATCTAAAAGATGTACATCTCAATTGGACTTATAGAAGGTGATTTTTTAATATATGGACAATCGATCTTGAATTCTTGATCAAATTAAATAATGCAACTTTTATTAATCACCATTTTAAGATAAACCCCATGGAACAAGTTTGGACAATATAATTTCCTCAATCTAAATGCATTGAGATTAATCATCATTTTGTACAAAATCTAACATTAGTTGAGATGGTGTGGCTGAAGCAGCTAAAACATGTAAACATGTGGTAAATTATGTTATAAATTAGTTTATAAATTAGCTTTCTGTTAATATATATAGCGTGAGATATCTAATTGATAAATTATGTTATAAACTAAAAGCAAGTTTTTCCGCTACTATATCAAAGAGTATCTGCCTTCATGTGCACAACACATGAGGAGGGTTAACGGTTGTGGGGAGATAGAGGTTAGGGTGAGGGACCATTGGTGTTACATGTTTGAAATAGAGACCAAGAATGCATGAAATGAACCTTTTGAACTAAGTGTGTTACTATCAGGTAACTATAAGGACCAAAAATGTAATTTATTCTTTCCCTTGTGTATTGTAATATACTTTTCGTAACAGTTAGGTCCCACAGTGGACTCTCAATTTTAAATTACATGTATGCACACAAGAACTACCAACGACGGAATGATTAGCCATTTAATTAATCAAGTCAAACCTTACTATCATTCTTCATTATGGGTATAAATATGTTTCTCAATATCATCATCTCCCAAGCACCTTTCGAAACCTTTTCTTTTATCATCATCAATCTTCTACCCTTCCATTCAAATTCCCCACGAAGATGGAGTCTTTCGGATTCTTGTTTGATGAAGAATGGGAAAGTTTGAGAAGAATGTTATCTGATGATCAAGATTCCGGCCACTTTTCCGGCCATGGTTTACTTTCGTGTGAACAAGATCGTGGTTTGAACTTTGAAACTCATTCCATTGTTTCATCTATTAATAACTCATCGTTCATCAACGATCATGATTTATGTTACGCTTCTGAAAATATCAACCCTAATCTCTGCCATTACTTCTCTCATGAAAGTAACGACAATGGATGTGTTGCTTATGATGGTGCAGTCTCTCTTCCCTACCAATCTTCTAATACTATTCCTTTACCAATAAATGGTGTGTGTAATAATCATCATGATTCGGTTTATCTCTATGATGAAAACGATTATAACTCCTCATTACTAGCCCAAGTTTTTTCCGATGATTCTATGGAAGAAATTCTATGCTCGAGACAAGAAGTCAACATAGAGAATACTGTTGATCCAACTGCGCCAATTGCTGATAAGCACAAGCACACGCCCTCCAAGAGAAAGATTGAAATCCTCGAATTGCCAAATGAAGTGGAAGACAAAGTCAATGACGAAAAAATCAATGAGAATCCCAAGAAGAAAACTAGGGTTTCAAGAGATAGTGTGAGTATAGTATTTTATGCAAGTTATTGTGAGATTGTGGAATTAATTTAATATCTTGAACATATCTTTAAAGACATTGAACTGAATATATTCTTATCTTTTTTTTTTTTTTTTGCACAGAAAAATAAGAAGAAAGTGCAACCAAAGAAGAAACAGAAAGTGATGACTACTAGTGTAAATGACAATGGAGTTGAAGGAGAAGATACAAACAACAATAAAGGAGGAGGGAATGCACCCATCGCTAGTTCAAGTTCTTGCAGTTCTGAGGACGATTTGACTGGAGGTGCAGACAACTCGAACTGGAAAACTAGAGCCGGTAGAGGTGCAGCCACCGATCCTCAAAGCCTCTATGCACGGGTGAGTGTTGATGATCACTTAATTGCTTCGATTTTTGCTACTGGATCTTGTGTTCTCTTATGAAATGATGTGTAATTAATATTGGTTTTTGCTTGGATTTGCAGAAAAGAAGAGAGAGGATAAACGAGAGACTGAAAGTCCTTCAAAACCTTGTGCCAAATGGGACGAAGGTTGACATTAGCACAATGCTTGAAGAAGCTGTCCACTATGTGAAGTTCTTGCAGCTTCAAATTAAGGTATATACACATCGTTAAGCTATGATAAAGCTATAAATGATCGTATTATATATTATGAGTATATAACCATACTTCACTTTTTCTATATTAATTTAAACACATGATCATCGAGGTGATTGATTTTTTTTCCTAACTTTATGCAGTTGCTAAGCTCAGATGACATGTGGATGTTTGCTCCAATAGCATACCATGGGATGGACATGGGTCTCTACCAGAAACTTTCACAATCTTAAAATTAGGAACAGTTTTGTTTCATTGTCAATTACTTATTAAATAAAAGTAAAATGACAAAACAAAACTTTATACACATATATTCTGACTAATTGTAATTATCAAATTCATATTTTTTTTCTGGTCATGAGAATTTATACCTCATGGTTTTGATTTATATATTTATTAACAAAATGTTGTATTAATTGCATGTTTGTAATCAAATATGTGGTCGGTTATTTATTTGAGAAAACGAACCAAGTTCAAGAATAAAAACCATTAACACATGTATGAGAAACAGAGGCAAAAATTAATCAATTGTAAGGAGTACTATATAGTATCAATCACATATAAGGATTTTGGTTTAAACCAAAAATTAATCAATTGTCATGCTTATAGGTTGCTATGAAATAAACCCACAAAAAATCCCAACAACTTTCCCAAATGATCAATGGGTTGTAATTGTTTTCTTAACATAGTATCATTACATGTTTATGTACAACAATGAAAACGGTTTTACAGGCTTCTTGGTATGTGACAATGTTTCGGTTCTAAGACTAGTTCATCCTTGATCACACATGGTTTTTTTCTATTAAGGTTGATAATGTTTTAGAGATATAAATCACATGGAGGTGACCAAAAGACTTGGAATAGAAATGTGTTTGGTGTATTTGTAACATTACAGTTCCAATAAAGGGAAGAAAATGTGAGATGGTTGTTCGAACCCAATCATCTATGTAACGATCGGAAAATTTGTTATTTCATTATTAAGAAATTAAAGCAAAATAGTTATGGATGTAGGAAATGAGAGGTTAAAAGTACATTGTTATTTGTAGCATTCGAGATTTTCAAGGTATTATTATTATTCATCCTAATTGAAGTGTGGTGTGGTTTGGTTTGGGCTTTGACCTTTGGGCCTTGCTAGTGGGCTGAGGAAGCTGCGTACGCGGGGAGTACATTGTCGTGTATGCCCAGCGTACTTGTGGAAAGAAAGCATGGAGGCCAAGGACGTACACCCAGCGTACCAGGATTACGTTCAGCGTACGTGTGCAGCTCTTTAAACCCTAAAATTTAGGGTTTAGTCCCTATATAAAGAACATTACCCCTGTGGTTCAGCCTTCCTTTACCCTCATACACCCTCCACGAAAACCCTATACTACTTTTGTGTGTTCTTGTGATTTGGGAGCTATTTGAGAGTTTTTTGGTGTAGTTTTGGTGCTTTGGAAGAGGATGGAACTTAAAGGAAGAGCAAGGATCCACCAAGAGCTTATATGTAACGACCAAATTTTCACGTCCAAAAATTTTCGTTTTTTAAAACATTACTTTAGAAAACGTTAATAATTAAAAACATTGTTTGATCAAACTACATCACAACGTAAACCATGTCTAAAAGCCAAATCATACAACCAATCGAAATATCAGAGTATAAATCCCAGAGAAATCTAATAGATGCGGAAACCAGTGTGTGTGCATGATGTGCCGCTACCGTGCCAGCTCCTTCCCCTTTGATGAAGAGGTACCTGAAACCAAAACTGTAAACTGTAAGCACAAAGCTTAGTGAGTTCCCCCATCGTACCACATACCATACAATACATAACATACATACTGCCAGGCTATTCTGGGGTGCCTGACTACCCGGTACGACCATTCTGGGGTGCCGACTACCCGTGCGGCCATTCTGGGGTGCCGTCCTACCCGTGTCAAGCCATTATGGGGCGCTGACCTACCCATGTCGAGCTATTCTGGGGTGCTGACTACCCTTCGGTCCTAACAACCGAACCTCGGGGACTATTTCACCCCCTACTACTACCATCACATATATCATACCCACAAACATAATATCAAAACATATCTGGGGTGTCTGACTACCCTTCGGTCCTAACAACCGAACTCTACTACTATCACATACAACATATCATGCTAGCATATAACATATCAAGTAGTAGCAAACCTAGATGATATCACAAAGACGATCATCTATCATACATCTCCTACTAGTGGGTCGGAATTGTGGCCTTAGACCCACCGCTACTGGAAGGCAACTCACCTTGGAGTAGCTGCTGATCTGATCGGGAACTGACTGTCTACTGCTGCTGCTGCTCCGGAAATCCTCCGGCTGTAATTCCCACAACTTACTCAATCAAATACTGCTAACTGTCCTTTGGGTAAAAAGACCATTTTACCCCTGATCATGCCCTAAGTCAAAGTCAGAGTCAACTTTCAGTTGACCCGACTCGCCGAGTTGGCTCTCCAACTCGCCGAGTCCCTGTCCAATCTACTGACCTGGATTCTATTTCTACTCGTCGAGTTAGGTATTGACTCGACGAGTTCTCCATCCAAACTGATGTCCAAGTCCTTCATCCTACTCGCCGAGTTGTATGAACAACTCGGCGAGTTCATCTTCATCCGATGAACACTTGTGCTGTGACTCGCCGAGTTGTATGAACAACTCGCCGAGTCTGATCTTGATCTAAGGAGATTGCCTTGAACTCGCCGAGTCTGGGCATCGACTCGCCGAGTTCCATTATGGGTGAGTTTTGGCTTCCAACTCACCGAGTCCACCCTGGACTCACTATACAACTCGACACAGCTAAAAGGGGACAATCTCGGAGACTCGCGACTAGACTCGCCGAGTCAGATGAGCGACTCGCCGAGTCTGTTTCATGCAAGAGTCATATACGCGATTTTGCTCGAATCTAGTCCATGCCATTCATAGATCTGGGTTCCTAGAGCATGAATAACACGTAAAGTTTCCAACTTTACGTGTAAATATTCATCCATGAGGGTTTTAGGGTTCAAAATGCACCAAAAGAGTAGATCTAAGGTCTTCATGCAACATGGGTCCATAAAGGTAGTAGACCTGAGCTCCTGGAGCTCAACCATGCCTAGATCTAGAGGCCAATCAACTTATTATGAAATATAATGCACATACAAGCTTGGGGAAGAGCTCAAGGAAGACTTTAATGGAGTTATAAGCATAGAGACAGGGGGAAAACGAGTTTTACCTCAAAGAAATCAAGGAGAGAACGCTAAGATGCTTGGCTTCCTTCCCTTCCTCTTGATCTACTCCACTTCCTTCTCAAAATCTTCAAGAACATACACTAAAATGCCTCAAACTCACAAGAACAAGAGCTAGAACGTATGGAGAGCTTCTGGGGGTGAATGGGGTGGAGTTGGGGCGCAAATGGTTGTTTAAATAGGGTGCAAACCCTTGGAAATTGGGGTTTCATCAGACAGCGCAGACTCGCCGAGTCCATAATATGGACTCGTCGAGTCGCCATCTTAACCCCGCCCCAAAGTCTCGTCTCTACTCAGCCAGTTGGGCCTCCAACTCGCCGAGTCCACAGCCAAAAACACAAAGTACTTAGGCAAAACTCACGTACCAGGAACCAGGTGCTACATTGTAGATCCAGAAGATTAGCATCATTTCTGACTTATTTGAGGTATCAAGTTCCAACCTTGGCCATTATATTCTTAGATTTGTTTATGGGGGTGTTTAAAGTTACTTTTGGACTCCATTATTGAGGCTTATTGCATCTTATTGATTTTAGACCATAATAGTTTTCCTTTTGGGCTCTTGGTGGTTAAGCCATAACTGTGCAAGTGTTTGTGGGTCTTAAAGTTTTATAAAAGGACCAAAATCATGTTTTGACCCCAACCTTGCATCCAAGCACATAAAGCTCGTGACTTTATGTTTAAGGAGGTCTAAAAGGACCTAGATCTGCATTATGGACGTAAAGACTTAATGGATTAAGTCATGAAGGAATTCCCAAAGAAGCTGGCCAGTACGTCGCGCGTACTACGTTAAACTCCCCGTCTTGGTTAAGGCCAGCATACGCTAGGCGTACGTGCCGGGTACGCCGCGTGTACACATGCAGATTGGAAAAATTAGGCTTTTGGGCCCTAAGAGGATGGGCCTAGACTTTTGGGCCCCATGGCCCACTATGAAGTATCATTTTGGACATAGGAATAAGGAACTTGAGTATTGGGCCTTTTTGGGCCAAGATTGGTCCCTTGAGGATTATTATATTAGACTTAGGAGTTTTTGCGCCCATTTGGGGAAAATAAGGTCTAATTCAGAAATTGAACAATAAGTGGGTCCTTAGGGAATCCTTAATGGGCCGTAAGAGAGCTGGGCTTGATAAGCTAGAATCGGGACTTAAGTATGTCCAAATTGGACCAAAGGTTAAAACGGTAATTTTACCCTGAGTAATGCTATAGAATCTGATCGAGTGTTATGTGTCTTTGATAGCCAGGAGTCATCGGAGCAGCTGTTAGAGATTTCCTCCGTGAGGTTTGTGACATCCCCAAAATCACGGCCAGAAAAGACCGCTTTTGTTTATGTTTTGTTTAAAAATCAGAGTAACATTTTAAATAAAAGTGTTGCGGAATTTGTCCCAAAACAAAATATGATAAAGATTTATCAAAAGCATTTCCATAGAAATGTATTTCATTAAAAGACTTGGGATGTCATGTTCGTACAGATCAAAAGCATAAACAGTACAGTATAAGCCTTACTACATTATTTCATATCTACAGGCCTATATCCGTAATCCCTCGTCCAAACATCATATCTATGCTCAAGCGCCACTACCTGTAATACATAAAACTGAGTGGGTTAGGCTTGGGAGCCTGGTGAGCACATAGGGTTTTCAACCCACAATAAATAAGTTTATTAATTCCATCAATCAACAATAACCCGATTACTCGTTCCCGTTATCCTCAAATTACGTCCCTAAACACCTATCCTAAGGATCATCATCGAGATGGACACTACCGCTAAAGGGGTTCCTCAGCAATAAATATCCTAAAGGCAACCATGTGGGGGATAGAGTACACCGGTGAACACATCGTTCACAAACACCTACAGGTTTGTCACACCCCCGAACCAGACGGCGGAAACGTCCGAGGGCTATTGTGACTCAATTGAATACCATCACAATGAATATACATGAAACATAACATCATACAATACCAAGCATTGGAATAGTACAACTGGTAGTGTTTACATTTAATACATTGTTTCATAACATTACATTCCCAAAAAGTAAATTGTTCGATACTGAATAGACAAACAACAAAACATCACTGGGTACATTTTTCCCTTCGA